ATGAGGAGCCTCACTGGTACAATTTCTGGGGGGGAGTGGTGGGCCCATCCAGACGACCTTCGTGTCACCCCACCTAGGCTTCCATCACCGATGCAAGGGGCCAGCGACGGGGCTACCGCCCAACACACATAATTTCAAGAAAGCCATTGGAAAGGGGAGAACTCGAGGTGCAGTTCGGGCTCTGGCCACCCAGGGATGCCCCTAGGCAACCCTCCCCTCTCCAGGGCGTTAAGGACTCTCCGTCCGTGAACCCCAACCACAGCCGCGCAGATTCTGGAGAGCTTCTGGAGCGACTTGTGTGCGCACAGCCCCCCCCACAGGACCGCCACGAGCAGCCACCTCGGAGCCTCTGGATCTGCCTGTGTAGCGAATGCACGTGGCTGGGGAGGCTCAGCCGATCTTGCTGCACCCGCTGGTCCCCCAGGCCCCTGTTGGGCGACTCGAGACACACGCTACGCTCGGAGGCCTCTCCAGGGATCGACGCGACCGCGTGCCTGGTCACCGGGATGAGCTCTTGCGTCTTCCCCCCGTGGCGGCCGGCTTCCTTCGCTTGCCCCCGCGCCCGTCGGGCTGCGCAGCTGCCGGTGCCGCAACGCTCTGGGGCACTGGTGGCACCAACAAACCAGGACAGCGAGCAGGTGCCCATGGCACTGCCAAAGCTCGCTTGTCAACCTCTGCCGCCCGGGCGAGGGCCCACCCTGGAAGTTGGGCCGACCGCGCAGCCTCTTCGGCTAGCCTGTCTGCTGCGGCAGTCTCAACCCAGTGCTCGAACTTCGCACCTCTGTCAAGTGAGCGTTTTTTATTCGGCGTTCCGACATTGGGCGGAAGGGCGGGGGAGGGGGGAGTTTGGCTCCGGACCTCTGCTTAGTGCGACTGTTTGGGGCCGTGCGTCCTATGGGGTAGGGACCCCACCTGTTCGAAACAGGCGCCAGAAACAGCCAAGATCTGCTCCATTGGGGGGGGGAGGGGGGGGGTGCGAGGGCCCGCGCCGATCGGCAAAACAATGGATCAAAAGCGCTTACCAAGCGCTGAGCCCGCAGTGTTCCCGTGGGGCTTTGTCTTGGCCGCTCGGACTCTGCTGCCTTCGCCATCCCTGCCCCGAAAAAACAACCGCCCCAAACACTTTGATGCTCGGGTGCCTGCCCTGGGCGCCTTGGTTGATGCCTTGCACGGCCGGATCGGCACCTCCGACATGAGCGAGGCCCCCGCTGGTGAGTTTGGCCATCCTGAATCGGGCCCAGGACTCGGTCACGGGAACCGTGCGCTTACACGTCGGTCGTTGGAAGAGGGTATTCCTGGATGCCCAGGTCCCCATCTATGTTGGGCGCCTTCCTACTCCAATGATCGACTGGTCTCCTTCTTCCCTCCTCCAGGGGGCGGGAGGAGACCCAACCTGCTTCCAACGCCTTCCTACTTCCTGTTTCTGCCCACCTCTTCCGACCGGCGTGCGAGGGTGGGGAGGGGTCCGCGCCCCCAGGCCAGCAGCCCAGAGCCCACGAGACAAGTCCAGCTCCCCGCACGCCGCAGCTTCTCAACCCTCGGGGGCTGCTGCGGCGTGGACCCCTCCAGAGCCGTTTCCTCTCGTGAGAGCCCCGGGGCTCTTCTGGGCCTCCTGGATGGGGTCGGAGTGGATGGGGTCGGAGGATCGCGCCGCATCGCCGATGCTCGCCGATGCGGCTCGATGTGCAGCCTGATTTGCTTCACGTCGACGTCGCCGATGCATCGGCGATGTCGACGATGCCTCGCCGGTTCGCTGGTGCATCGTCGATGCCTCGCCGATGTATCACCGATGTATCGGCGATGCGGCGCGATCCTCCGACCCCATTTACTCCGACCCCATCGAAGAGGCCTCTAACTTTGAAGCTCGGATTCAGGCTCAAACTCAGGACTTGGGTTCCAGGCTGAGTGGGGTTGAAGATCCAGGCTCTTGGCGTCAAGCCCTTGAGCCAGAAACGCATTTTACGTCCCCATTCCTCACGCGCCTTGGAACGCAGCTCAAGGTTGGGACCTAGCCCTGGGGTGTCTTCGTCACAATCACACCCCTAGACCTGGCGGAACAATGATCTTGCTCTCTCTTGCGTCGCGGGCACAGGTGTGGAGGTCCGTGCCTCCTTGGGGCCAGCATGCCTTGCAACTCAGCAAAGGTGAAATTGCATTCCTCCTCCTCCACGCCGCCGGGACGCCCCTGCTCCCCCTCCTCCCCGAGGCACAGGTCAGCAAAAGGATCCCCTCCAGGGTCGTCGAGTTTCGATGAACTCGCATCATTGAAGGATGTTAAGCTCTTCGCCTTGGGGGTTCTCCCAGGTCTTGGGCTCCACGGTGCTCCAGCTCATGTCCACGAGGAGGTTCGTGGGCCGCTCTTGTAAGGCCCCAGGTCCTCGCCCAGTGCCTCGGACCCTTGGAGGGTTTTGCGTCAAGCGGTCTGGACCGCCTTCTCACGATCTTGCAAATAGGGCATCACCTCAAGCCTAGCCGTACCAACGTGCAGGGGACCGAAGACCGTGGGGCCGTCTTTGGCATCAAAGGTAATCCTGATTCTCGTCGTCGTGCACCCCCAGGTCTTTTGCATCCTGTGAGGCTCGCAGTGATGGCCCCTGGCGCTACCATTTTCGACAGGCGTAAGCCCTGCGCAGAGACTCCATGCAGGGCTGCTGGCCCACTGCTGGCCCGTGGCCAGTCTTGGCTAAAGCCTTCGTCTTAGAATTGTTAGCTGTAAGTTTGGAAAGCTGGACAGCCATACCTCGCGCCATGTTTATTCGGCCCTTACTGGCCTGGACAGATCTCCTACAAGTGTGCCCATCAAGGCCTAGATCTTTGACCTGCTTGTGGCACCTAGCTTACGCAGGCCGAAATATTGTCCTCTTGAGCTCCAAATGTCGGAAGCGGCGTGCTGTACAGGTTAGCGGCTACATGTAGCGCTTTCTTCGGCTTGGGGCGTGCCATCTGTTATGGGAGAAGATGCGGGAGTTGGCCGGGCCCGCTGCGGCGTTCGAGCAACCACATGTTAAGGGAGGAGTTGAGGGAGGTGGCCGGGCCCGCTGTGGTGCTCGAGCTTCCGATCTTGACACTTTGCTTGTGTGCCCTCATGTTCCCCAACCTCTCTCCTCCCCCCACCTTCTCCTCCCTCCTGTTTCCTCCTTCCGCATCCCTCCTCCCTCCTCCTCCTCCTCCTCCTCCTCCTCCTCCTCCCCTTTCTTCCTTCCCCCCCCTCCTCCCTGATTGTTCCTCCTTTCTCTTCCCTCCTCCCATCCCTTCTCTCCTCCTCCCCCCTCTTCGTGTCTCATCCCTCCTTTCGCCCTTCGTCCTGGGAAGACCCCCCTCTCCCGTGCAATCATAGCTTTGGTCTGCAGATCCACAGTTCGGTGGATAGCATGATGCTTCACGTGCGGTGTACCGCGGATCCCATTTTCCCTGGGTCCAGGATGTTCGTATTTTTGTTATAATCTTATTCCCGGAAAGTGAATGGATCCATTCATTGGTTTCCACAGACGGGAAATTGGATCCGCGCAGCACAGAAATAGGATCCACGAGCTTGTCGCACACCCGAACAGGGACGCAATTTGATCCATGGGTGTTTTCATATTTTAATCGGAGAGGACACAGCTTTCGGCCTGGGGATGTAGTTCGGCTCCTTCCCTTCCCGGGGCCTCTGAAAAGGATCTGGGCAATCCTGGGCGAGTTGGCGATTATCTTAGACTTGCTGGCATCCTTGAAACCCGCAGTTCTGAGCTAAATCGACAGGGTCTTCACATCTATCATAGTCCTATCTACCACATGGTCCGATTTGTGTTTCGATATTTGCCCTAGGTCGCCCACCTAGGTCGACAGCTCAGGTGGCCCAAGCTCGGCATGCATGCTCCCGAAAACTTCCCGCGACGCAAGCCAGGCCAGATTGACACTCTGGTTGCATCTTGCAATGAGGGACCGCTCGGGGAAGATGAGGTCAGACACAACACCCTCCACTCGCACCCTTATGGAGGCCCCGTGGACAAGTAACCCCAGTGCCAGCATTTTGTTGGGGCAAACGGGCGGGGGGAGGCGCGGAGGACGGCGGCGGTGGAGTGGGAGGCATGGGTCATGGAGGACGCCGCATCCATCCCTCTGGCCCCAACTCTCCCGACAACGCCCGCCAACTTCACCTTTCGTCCGCGTTTTTTGTTTCCTGCCCTCTCTCCTGCGCGCTGCGCAACGTTTCCCTCCTCCTCCCCACCCCCCTCGCGATTCCGAAGGCCAGGACGGGCTCGCGCTGGCTCAAATCGCATGTCATATGTCTAATTTTTAGGAAGCAATATTATGTTTGGCGTCAACGTCGGCTTTCTGTCCTAGGGTCGTGCCCCCTCGAACTTCTGTTTCGACACCCGGAGTGCCTACTACCATGGGCAGGGCGGGGGAGAAGGGAGGATGGGGAGGTGCTCCTCCTTCTCCTCCTCCTCCTGCTTCTCCTCCTCCTCCTCCTCCTCCTCCTCCTCCTCCTCCTCCTCCTCCTCCTCCTCCTCCTCCTCCTCCTCCTCCTCCTCCTCCTCCTCCTCCCCTCCCCCTAACGGCTTTAGTGTCTTTTGTGTATTCAGACGCAGCCGTTTCTCTTCCTCCTCCTCCTCCTCCTCCTCCTCCTCCTCCTCCTCCTCTGAGGTGCCCCCCCTCGGCTACGCCCACGGGGTGCTGGCCTCGCCCCTGGCGGGCCACCCACCCCCTGGCGCGGCGCCGCTGCTCCTGGGCGGCGCCTCGCCGCCTTGCCCGCCGCCGCTGCATGCGGCGCCCACGCTGGCGCAGGGCGCCGCCGAGGCCCCGGGCGCTGGCGCGGCGGACGGCCCGGTGCATGATGTGTCAGTTTTCCACCACCACTACCATAGGTAGGGCGGGGGAGAAGGGAGGAGGGGGAGGTGCTCCTCCTCCTCCTCCTCCTCCTCCTCCTCCTCCTCCTTTCTCCTTTCTCCTCCTCCTCCTCCCCTTCCTGCCGTGTGGTGGTGGTGGTGGTGGACAGCCGGCTCATCAGGTGCAGATGGCGCGCGGCCCGCTGGCGGGCGCGCCGCGCCCGCCGGGCGGGGCCGAGGCGCCCGCCCCGGGCGCGCACCACCAGCAGCACGTGGTGGGCAGAGGGGGATCGCCCCGGCACGCTCGCGTCGTGGCGCCCTCCCCAGACCCCCTCGGGCAGTGAAAGAATCATGGCGGGAGGTATTTCCATATTTTCGGGCTCTGGGGGGCCCTTACCGGGCCTTGGGACCGTCAAAAAACGACCCAGGATGACAAGCTGGTCCTGGGGAATGGGTCGAGCTCTCCAGGGTCGACTTTATGAAAAATCATGACGTCGGGGTCAGGGATCGTGGCGGGGGGGCGGATATCGTGGCGGAGGGGGTAAGGGCTATAGGGGGGCTGGGGGTGGACATCGTGGCGGGGGCCATGAGGTCTCCCGGATCTCATGGCGCCTCTTCTCATTTCAAGACGTCCCCAGCCCCCACCTGGGCCGCGCACGTGCCGCCAGCCATGATTTTCGCCCCCCCCCCCCCCCCCCCCCCCCCCCCCCTCCCCCGCACCCTCTTGGACGCCCTGGGCGCGCACCACCAGCAGCGCGTGGTGGTCAGAGCCGAGCAGTGGCGAAGCGTCTGGCGTGCTTATAGGCCCACCAAAGAATGCACTAGGGACTTTTAATGGCCTGCACGAAGTGAAGTGTTCTTAGACCGTTTTTCTGGCTGGGAGCGCCTCGTGTGAACACGTCGGGCATACCTTCTACGAACATTGATTTCGTTCTACCCAACAGTCGGTCGGTCCTTGCTCAACAGAGGAGGAACGCCCTGACAGGCTCGCGTCTTGACTAGAGTCAGGGCGGGAGGTTTTTGTCGGCTGCGGACCTCTGCGAGCCTTTCCTACAGAGGCCCCAGGGCCGTCCACGAGACTATCGTTAGTCAGTGTGAAGTGCTGGTCCCGGTGGAAGCGTTGGGACTTCTGGGGACCCCGTATTTCGGGAGCGGAAAAGAGGGGGGTGATGACTAGGGGGGGGTGGATATCATGGCGTGGGCCATGATATTTCCCCAGATCTCATGGCGCCTCTTCTTATTTCATTACGTCCCTGGCCCCCCCGCTGGGCCGCGCACATGCCGCCGGTCATGATTTGCACCCCCCCCTCTTGGTCACCCCCCTCTTGGCCGCTCCCGAGTATTGGAAAACATCAAGACATCGCATGTCTGGGCAGATAATGGTAGGCTCGCGCCGCGTTTAAGTGGTGACGAATCCATCGCGGGCGTTCCAGGTTCAACGCCGGCCGTGGCCTAGAATCGGCCGAGGTTGAGTGATTTGCGCTGTCCAGAAAGCGCGATCTTTCAAGGCCGAACGATCCACGCGTTGTCAGAAACCAGCGCCCACGGCCTCGCGACGCGACCATGCCGTACTGGCACCGCTGCTCGTCATGGACAGGCATTCTCGTTACCGCTGCGGCCAGGTTCTCCTCGAATCGGCGTCACCCCAACATACTTATACTATATGTTCATCGCCCCCCCAGGGGCGCCGCGCGCACCGAGAAATCTTATAGCATATGCGTCGTGGCGAGCGCTTTCTGGCCACACCGCCCCGGAAACGATCTACTACAAGATGGGTACACTATATGTTCGGGTCGGACGCGCGCCTCCAAGGAGGACATCTAGTATTAGTATGTCTCTGTACGTCCCCAGTCTGGTCAGACCGCACCCCCGAAGAGGTCCGAGGAGAGCAGTGGGATCGCGGCCTGCTCGCCCCTCCGAGGTGGGGGCCGTGCCCGGGGTGCCGCCCGCCACGCCGCCGTCCCTGCTGGGCACGGTGCCCCTGGGGGCCTCCAGCGCGCCGATGGACCTCGGAGAAGGGAAAGGTGCTCCTGGGGCTCCCAGATGGGGTCGGAGTGCACAGGGCTCATGTCCAATTCTTCGAAGATTCCTGGATCTTTTTGGGGACCAAGCTCCTTTCATATTTCCAATTGTTCTATCCTGGGCCTCTTCCTGGCCACTGGGGGGCCAGGAAGAATTAGAAACGAGCACAATTAGAAATGAGCACGCTTCGAAAGGTACTCCTTGTGGAAACCGATGTATGTAGAGGAAGCATGCTGCCAAATAATTTCCAGACGTCCAACAGATGTCTCAAATATGTTTCAAATATGTAAGAGACAGGTTTGAAACGTTTTTAGAACATGTTTCACACATTTTGAACACATTCTGAATTCAAGGATCGGACCGTTAGCGTGTCCACCGTCGTGGCATCCACAACTCTAGGCCTCCTAGATGGGGTCGGAGTAGATGGAGTCGGAGGACCGTGCCACATCGTACGGCTCGACGTGGAGCCTGATTTGCTTCACGTCGACGTCGCCGATGCGTTGCCGACGTCGAAGATGCATCGCTGGTGCATCGCCGATGTTTGGCGGCCAGCGAGGTGGGGAAATGAGAAGGAGAAGGCCGTCTCAGAAGGCGGCGGGGCTTCTCCGAAACCCTCGCGCTTTCTGAGAAGTTTGTTCTGTCTGCGTGGAAGGCTAAGAATTCTTTTCAAAAGGCCGTGGGACTTCCGAGCTTTCTGAGAAGGCCCGCCCCTTCTCACCTCCCCCCCTCGCTCGCCGCCAAGATGTATCGACGATGCGGCGCGATCCTCCGACCCCATGTACTCCTGTACTCCGACCCCAAGTAGGCGGCCTCCAGGTACCCACACGTGCTCGCGCCCTGGCAAACAAATCTTGACGGGAGGTGTTTGGTCGTTTTCGGCCTGGAGGCCCCACACCAGGCTCCAGGATTTTGAAGCAACGACTCGGGATACAGAACCGTTTCCGGGGAGAGACTCTCACGAGTTCTGGGGACCCCATGGTGCAAATCTCAGAATCTCGCATGTCTGGGTGCCGATGCCGCTATACCCAATGCCTCGTCCTCGCCTCCTGGTGGCCTCCCTGGGGAGGCCCTCGCCGCCACGGCCGGCCTCTCCTCGCGAAGCCCTGGCCAGAGCGCGCCTCGCCAGAAGAGGCCTGGGGCGCAGCGGTCTCGGCATCTGTCAGGAGAGGAAAACACACATACACAAATCATCGTCGATTCCCAGAAAATATGGGAAAATATGGGAAGTGGGGGGGAAGACACAAACCCAGAAAATATGGGAAAATATGGGGAGTATTCTTATTTGTGTGTATTTATTTGTGTGTCCTGGGGCGCCTTCAATCTGTTTGTCGGACGTGGATAGACCTCCTACCCTGACACGTCGATAAAGGAAGTGGCCGTTTTGGGTTTCGCGAGAGGGCGTCGCGGCCGTCATTTTTGCGGGTCCGGGGCCGTCGGTTTCGGTCCCAGGCCGTTTTCACTAAGGGGAGGTTTGCTAAAGGGAGGTTTGTCCGCCGCCGAGCTTTGTCCCCCAGGACCAGCTGGGCCTGGTACCGCCGCGGGGCTGGGCGCCGGGGCCGCTGCTGCCGCCGTCGCCCGCCGCCGCCACCAGCCTGCTGGGCCACGCGGGCTACGCGCCAGCTGGCCTCTCGGGGCGGCCAAAGCGGATGGAGACGGCGGGGTTCTTGCCCCGCCCCCCCATCCCAGAACCCCGACATCTTGATGCGTTCCATCAAAATCGACCCCCAGAAGCACCGTGGCCACGGGATGGGACGGTGGCGAGGGCACGCGGTGCCGGTACGGCCAGCACTGTCCGGTGAGGACCGCCAGTGCCGGTAGCGCCAGTGCGGTATTGGGCTCCCACGGGGCCAGTGCTGGTTCGGTCGCAGGGCCACGCGGTAGCGGTACGGCTGTGGGATTACGTGGCCCCGGCTTGCCGATTCGGTGTGTCAGCCGTCGTTTGCCGATATCCTGATCGGGCTTCGCTCCGGCTCTTGCATGGTGAAAAAAAAGGAGGATAATGGCGATTGGGTCTAGGCTTCTGGCCTAATCGCCTGGACCTGCTTTTCATCCAGAGTCTTTTCTTGACGGTCCCGAGGCCCGGTAAAGGCCTCCAGGCCAAGGGAGTCCAAAATAGTGACAAACTGATAGTCGTGTTTTTGTCATTACCCGAGAGGCTCTGGGATTCCCCTGTCCCCCCTACTCTCCGATTTCCCCGGCACTCTTTCGCCTCCGCCTCCGGCTCCTTCCTCCTCAGCCTTGGCTCCCGGCCGTTGCTCATCCTCCCCCCTTTTCCTCTTGCTGCTGCTCATCCTCGTCCTTTGTCCTCCTCGCGGAAAGGGGAGGTGGATGATGAGGAGGAGGAGAAGGAGGAGAAGGAGGAGGAGGAGGACGAGAGAGGGAGGATGGCGATGATGAGGAGGAGGCGGAGGGGACAGGAGGCGATGATTATGATCGTGATGATGAGGGTGATGATGATAATGCTGATGATTATGATGATGCTGCTGCTGATGATGATGATGATACTGATGTTGATGATGCTGGTTCTGATTCGATGATGAGGATGATGATGCAGATTGTGAATGTGTTGATGCTGCTGAGGATGGTGATGCTGAAGATGATAATGATGATGATGATGATGCTGATGCTGATGCTGATGCTGATGATGATGATTATGATGATGAAGGAGATGTTGATGATGCTGCTGCTGATTGTGGTGATCATGATGATGTATAATGGTATTTGTGGTGGTGATAACTATGTGTGCTGCTGATAATTATGATGATGGTAATGATGATGCTCATGAGTAAGGCAAATACGGTGACGATGCTGATGCTGCTGATGATGATGCTGATGCCGATGGTAACGAGGATCTGGTTCGTGACTGCGGTGATGGTGATGACGACGTCACGCTGTCAGCTGTGGGCGTGATGTTAGTGGGGATGCCACTGATTACGACGACGATATCGACGATAATGCTGATGATAATGACGAGGATACTGATGATGCTGCTGGTGCTGATCAGGACAATGATGAGGGTGATGATGACCATGCTGATGCTGATGACTATGATGGTGATTGTGATGACGATGATTATGGTGATGAAGATGCTTGCGATACTGATTACCATTATGAGGATGCTGATGGTTGTGGTGGTGACGATGATGATGCTGATGATGATGATGCTGATGATGATGAGGGTGATGATTATGTTGATGTTGGTGCTGATTATGATGAGCAAGGCGATGATACTGATTATGATAGTGATGGGGGCGATCTCGACGATGACGATGACGGTTCCGACGACGATGGTGCCGATGATGCCGATAGCGCTGCCGACGATAATGATGAATATGTGCAGAAGCAGATGAAGATGATGATGATGATGATGATGATGATGATGATGATGATGACGATGATGTTGCTGATGATGATGATGATGGTGTTGATGCTGATGCTGATTATGATGATGCTGCTGATGGTGATGACGATGCTCATGATGATTGTGACGCTGCTGCTGATGATGCGACTGCTGCTGCTCATGGTGATGCCGATGAGGCTAAGTAATGTGGTGGTTGTGATGATGCTGAGGATCGCGATGATGACGGTTTTGGTATGCGGATAAGGATGAGGACCTGCATGATTCAGGTGGATGATGATGGTGACGATGATACAACGATGCTGTTGGTGGTGATGATGCCAAGGGTGAAGAAGATGCGGCTGATGCTGATGCTGATGGTGGTGATTATGATGATGATGGAGAAGAAGAGATGATGAGGAATGGGAGGAGGAGGCAGCAAACGAAGGGGGGCCGGTGCAGGTGGAGGAAACTCCGAAGCGGCACTCACTTTCGGGCCATACCGCTGGCCTCACGCTGCAGTTTGGGACGATTGCAGCACCCACAGAGCGTTTCGGCGAGGCGCAGCTTTTTGAGGGCACCCCGAGGCGAGAAACAACTCTCGGGGTGGCGTCGTCGGCGCCGTCGACGTCTGCGTCGTCTGCGTCGTCGTCGTCGTCGTCGTCGTCGGCGCCGCCGTCGTCGGCGACGGCGTCGTTGTGGGCGTCGTCCCCAGACATCCGACGTCGTGACTTTTCCACAACGTGGCATGGACCGCTTTCTCGTCCCGAGCCGATATTGCATTGTTCTGGGATAGGGTAGGGGCCCCCGCTTGGATCGGCGCGGAGGTTGCTTAGGGGATATGGGCTAGAAGTGAATGCCAAGCTGGTTTTTTTCTGGCCTAACCCAGCTTGCAAGGGTGGTCAATAACTCCGCTAGGTGGGCGGAGCCAACTTAGCCCGGATCGTTATCCCCCTGAGCCGCACATGGCACTTGTGACCAACACACTTATGAGCCAGATCAGGCCAGATATCACCCATCCTGGCGTCCACTGAGAACCCCCCGATCCCCTCAGCATCCCCCGCGCCGACCCGAGTAGATGCCGAAAGCTGTCAATGACCTCGCCTCGCAACTTTCCGACGACGCGAGACTTTCAAGGTCGGCCTTCGCCTCGGGGGAAGGAGAAGCGATGCCACCACCACGGGGGCCACCTCCAGCGAGGAGGTCACGATGCCCACCCCGAGCTGGGGATAGGGAAGGTCTCGAGCGAGAGAGGGGAGACCACACCACCAGGGGAAATCCCCCTGGCTCCTCCCACTGGGTGGTGGTGCCGCTTTTCCTTTTTCTTACTTGAGCGACGGAAGAAAACGGGTCCGACTGCGCCGACACTCGAGCGTGAGTAAGCTGCCCGCGCAAAGTCGCGCGCAAGCGCTCTCGTTTCCAGTGCAGTGTGCCGCGCTGGCTGCCCGCGTCAGCTGCGGCATAAGGTCGCTGTGCCATCTCGCCCAAGACTCGCTTCTGCTCGTCGCTCACTTGCCGTCGCCCTCGGCCTCCCCCTCGGGAGGAGGGAGGAGGGAGGATGAGGGTGGAGGGAAGAGGGAGGAGGGACGAGGGAGAAAGGAGGAGCCGGAGGAGGAGGAGGAGGAGGAGGAGGAGGAGGAGGAGCCAGAGGAGGAGAGGAGGAGGAGGAGGAGGGAGGAGGAGGAGGAGGAGCCAGAGGAGGAGGAGGAGGAGGAGGAGGAGGAGGAGGAGGAGGAGCCAGAGGAGGAGGAGGAGGAGGAGGAGGCGGAGGAGGCGGAGGAGGAGGAGGCCCGCGGCCGACCCGAAGGCCTGAGCCCGCCGACCGGGGCCGACGCTGCCGCTGCCCTCACCGCGCCGGCGCCGGGCGCCGCGATCGCCGGGCGGTGAGGGCCGCGCCGGCGCGGCGCAGCGCCGGGGCGGTGCGGGCGAGGGTTCCCAGATCATCCGCTACCGAGAAATTTCGGTAGCGTTAGATCACTACCGATTTTCACTAATTTCCGAACAAAATCGGTAGCGTTAGCACCTAACGCTACCGACGAAAATCGGTAGCGGTTGGTGTTAACGCTACCGATTTTGGTGGTTAGCGCTACCGATTTTCGATATAGCGCTACCGATTTCAAGACAAACGTTTGTGCCCGTATCGTGTGCGGTCGACAAACGTTTGCAAACGTTTGCAAACGTTTGTTGAAGAAAACTCACACGTTTGCAAACGTTTGCAAACGTTTGTTGGCTCGGATGTGCGTTCAGGAATCAGTACATAGTGATGGGAGGAGGGAGGGAGAGGAGGAGGAGGAGGAGGAGAAGGAGGAAGAGGAGGAGGAGGAGGAGGAGGAGGAGGAGGAGGGAAATGAGGAGGGAGGGGATTAGGGAGAGGAAGCGGGAGAGGAAGATGATGATGCAGCCATTTTGGCTTTGGGGAGCCTTCGGCTCCGTGTCTGCGGCGTGGCCGCCAGATCGATGCAGCGAACGCCTAGCCTCAGGGGGGGTCAGGGGGCCGTTCGCCCCTTTCCCCCCTTCCCCCGCCCCCTTCCCCTCATCAAACGCATTTCCATGGATCAATATACGGTTAGGGGGCCTTCCGCCCCCTTCCCCCGCCCCCCTCTCCCCCGCCACCACTCCCCTTCATCAAAACATTTCCAGGGATCAATGCGCCCCCCTCGCCCGCCCCACCACCCCCACCCCACTGCGTCCTTAATATGGGTTTGGGAGGTAACTATAATCGTGGTGCGGTGTTCGCTGCCACGATCTCCCTCCGCGATGTCCAGGGCCAAGGTTGACGGCAAAAAGCTCGGCGAGGCTCTTGTGAGCCATGTCGAGTGTTCTGGCGTCAAGCACGCCTTCAACCTCGGGGTGTACAACTTCCTGGCTCGGGACTCCGCGGTATCGGCTCCGGCATTGCATGATATGCGGGACTTGGTGGTCGTGCAACCAAAAGGGGATGGGCATGGGAGAAGGAGTAGGGGGAGTAGGAGTAGGGGGAGGAGTAGGAAAATGAGTAGGATGATGGCGGTGATGGTGATGGTGATGGTGATGGTGATGGTGATGGTGATGGTGATGATGATGATGATGATGATGATGATGCTGATGATGACGATCATGCACGTTAGGCTCAAAGTCGATAGACTCAAATACGTTAGGAGTCATGTCGGCACCTCGCACTGTACACCTTCCGTTCTTTACGGTGAGCCCCGATCTCCACCCATGGGTACCGAAGGCGTACTCTGTCGGCCAGGATGTCGCGAGCGACTGCTGGATCGAGCACCGCGTTCAACCTTATCCATATTTCGAGTCGTGCAGGTGCTTGCAGCTTGTGTGTGTTGGCGGTGCTGTAGACCACTTGCGCCTCTGGTGGTCGTTTGGCGTCCTGACGGGGCGCCCCGTGTTTCAAAAACAAAGCACATTCAGCGCATCGCTGTTTTCACTTTTTTCATGTTTCGCACTGTTTTCACAAATAATGAGATCAAGAAGCGATGCCATGTGCTTCGCTTCCAACCGCCCCCACCCAAGGTACCAGGAGTACCGCCAGGTGGGCGCCGCGGGCCTGTACGTGATCTTGGGTGCTTGAAGGTGTGTTCCACTAGAAACCGACGAGGACGGATGATGATGCTGACGATGATGAGGAGGAGGAGGAGGAGGAAGAGGAAGAGGAAGAGGAGGCGGAGGAAAAGGAGGAGGAGGAGGTAGAAGTGGAGGTAGAAAATGAGGTAAAAGCGGAGGTAGAAGAGGAGGCAGACGAGGAGGATGACGAGGGAGGTAGAGAAGAAGGAGGAGGTAGATGAGGAGGGGCATGGGCATGGGAAAGAAAGGCCACCCCCTTCCCCCAGCCCCGTGAAGGTAGAAGTACTCCTGCGCTCGATCCCAGATGTCGAGCGCAACTTCACCATCATGAGGGCCGCGTGCGTCAGAGCGGTGTGCCGGTTCCCACCGCCCTTCACATTCCCCGACGTCATTCCCTCGTCATCGTCGTCACCCTCTTTTCCCCACCTCCTATTTGTCCTCCTCCTCCTCCTCCTCCTCCTCGTCTGCCCCCTCTCCTACCTCCACTTATACCTCATGTTCTACCTCCACTTCTACCTCCTCCTCCTCCTCCTCCTCCTCCTCTTCCTTCTCCTCCGCCTCCTCTTCCTCCTCCTTCTCCTCATCCGCACCTCTTCCCACTCCTCAAAACGAGGTTCCCGAGGTGTGTGAAGGAGACGAGGACGGCGTCCGACTGCGAGCGCGCTGGCAGCCTCGCGGACAAGTTGCTGACGATCCTCAAACATCTTCGACGAGTTCGAGATAGTGCTCTCCGCCAGCGCCAGGCTGCGGATGGTTAAGAGGAGGATGAGGAGGCATGGTAGGAGGATGAGGATGAGGAGGATGAGAAGGAGGAAGAGGCATGGTAGGACTAGGATGGTTAAAACGTACGCTGGGTATGATGATGAGGAGGATCAGGTTACGAGGATGCTGGGGAGGACGAGGAGGAGGATGAGGAGGATGATGAGAATGAGGATGGGGATGTGAGATGATGGCGGAGGTAGTGTCCCATCGTTTTGTTCGACCCACCCTCCTTCCTTTCTTTTCGATTCTCCCATCCCCTCCTTCAAACAACGTTTCCCTATCTACCTCATCCTCTCACCTCAGATTGCGAGGCTGTTTCGAGCTGCACGACGGACGACCAGGTGGACTCCATTCAGTTCTTCCTCCACCTGATGGGGAAGCCCCCCATCCCCGTCGACGTCGTCGAGATGGCGCGACGCGGCTCGCGTCGCTCGTCAAGGGCGTTCTCGCGGGCTCCGAGCTTGAGGCGTTCTGCAAGCGCGATGTCGATCGTGCTGACGGAGACGCGCGCTTGCAAAAGGGATATGGTGATGGAAGTTTGGGTGAGGAGGATGAAGGGTGGATGGAGGATAGGATGACAGAGGATAGATGAGTAGAGGGTTGGTGAAGGATAGGGGATGGATGGATGGACGGATACGTGGAGGATGGATGGAGGAATTTGGAGTTTTTGTGTTCGACAGTTTGAAAACTGTGCCCTTGAGGGCCCGATTTGACAATACTTGGGCCCAACTGTGGCCCAAGTATTGTCAAATTGGGCACATCCGCCAGGACACTCCGAGGCCGTCGTGCAAGCCGCTCGACAAGGTGCAGCTGGACGACGAGGTGCAGTCGGACGACGACGAGGTGCAGTCGGACGACCACGAGGTGCAGTCGGACGACCACGAGGTGCAGTCGGACGACCACGACGAGGTGCAGTCGGACGACCACGTTGAGGTGAAGTCGGACGACCACGCCGAGGTGAAGTCGGACGACCACGCCGAGGTGCAGTCGGACGACCACGCCGAGGTGCAGTCGGACGACGACGCCGCCGAGGACGGGTCGGATTGCTGTTTGTTTTACCCTGGAACATCCCGTTTGCAAACGTTTGCAAACGTTTGCAAACGTTTGCAAACGTTTGTACACGTTTGCAAACGTTTGCAAACGTTTGCAAACGTTTGCAAACGTTTGTCGCCCTCATCATCAGCGTCCCCATCATCATCCTCCCACGCGTTCATCTTCCTCCTCCTCCTCCTCCTCCACTCCCGTCTACTTACTCCTCCTCATCGTCCCCCCCTCCCCCTCATCCTCATTATCCTCATCATTGCCCCCGTCCTCTCACCGACGCCAAGAATCCGAGTGGGGCCAGGAGGAGAAGGAGATGGGGGAGAAGACGGAGGAGGGGGAAAGGGGGAGGGGGAGGGGGGGAGGGCGACGATGAGGATGAGGAGAAGGCGAGGAGAAGGGCGAGGAGCACGTGGGGGAGTAGGTGGAGGGGAGATGAGGAGGAGAAGGGGGAGAATCAGGAAGATGAGGAAGTCACCCTCAGCCAGGACGACTCGACCATGCGCACGCGCAAGATCGAGCAGCCGATCTCCGACAAGGCCATGAAGGACCCCCCCCCCCGACAGCCCCGACGATGAGGATGGCGGCGAAGGAGGAGGGGGAATAATGAGGTGGATGGATACGTGAACAGGGGAGGAAGGATGGAGGCGGATAAGGAGGAGGTGGATAATGTGGTGGATGGAGTGGACGGGAATAAGGAGGTGGATGGATGAGGAGGAGGAGGAGGAGGAGGATATGGAGGATAGGGAGGAATGTCGAGAGAGGTATGCGGAAAGTGAGGCCAGGGGCGATAAGGAGGACAGGGAGGAAATAGGGGCACACGTCGTCAGCGTCATCGCGGCACACGTCATCAGCGTCATCGTCACTATACTTCCACCCTTCAACCTCCCATAAGTCAACCTCCCAACCTCTCTGTATCCAATAATTCAACATCCCAACCTCCCATCCTCGCATCATTGTCGTCCCAACCTCCCATCATCGCATCATTGTCGTCCCAACCTCCAATCCTCGCATCATTGTCGTCCCAACCTCCCATCCTCACATCAGTGTCGTTCCAGCCTCCCAACCTCCCAACCTCCCAACATCAACATCATATGCATCATCAGCCCATTTTGGCTCCACGCGTCATCGCCGTAGCGGCGACTGGGCACTCGCTATGCCAGATTTGGAGTTACGCGAACACATCGCGGCCAAGTTTTTCCTCCCAGACCGATGGCGGCGCCTTCAGCGAGCTCAATATGCGCTCTTGCTGTACCTCGTTGGTTCGACCGTGGAAGCGGTCCCTCATTTTGTGCCGACGGAGGATGAGCGCGATCTCGTCTTCTTGGAGGTCTTGAGTGGCTCAGGGCGGCTCGCCGACGCGTGCTGCTCGCTTGGGCCGTCCACGAACTACGACGCCTCATAGGGGCCCGAGTTCGATTTGCTCAAGCACAGTGGCTATGGGCGGATCATGCACCTGGCCATGCGGATGAAAGTTGGCGCGGTGGCGTGGATGGCTCCATTATACCACGCGTGGGTTGGGAAGGCCAGTGCTTCGCGCACGGCCGATCTTCCTCAGGGTGATTTCCGTGACTTGGCGCAGCAA